TAGTTTCGTTTACTTTTATTTTATTTTATTATTTTATTTATTTATTTGTTTATTTATTTTTTTTTTTTTTGTTTCAGGCCTTTGGACTTTTCAGCGATAAATTTGGCTCAGAACGCCACAAACTTATATTGGAATTTAAGTCGTTACGATCGGGGTGGTTGTGTAGAGGAGGCTTTGCGTCAGCTGTGTCCTTCTTATGGTTCTTCATTAAAAAGAAGAAGAGTATGCAGCAGCAGCAGCAGCAGCAGCAGCAGCAGCAGCAGTGGTGCTGCTGCTGCTGCTGCTGCTGCTGGGGGGTGTAGTAACAGCTGCAACGCTGCTTCAAACGGTGCTGCTGCTGCTGCTGGAAATACTACAACTGCTGCTGCTGCTGCTGCAGCAGCAGCAGCAGCTGCTGCTGCTGCTGCTGCTGCAGCAGCAGAAGAAAGAAATGCAAGAAGGGGTAGAGGGGGTAATTCTATGGTGTCTAGGGACCTGAGGAGACAGCAGGAAGCTGCTCGTTTTTATAATTTTATGGTTGAGGAGTTTAATAAAAGAAGTATAAAACTAAAACAAAGAAAAGAAGAAATAAAAGATATTTTATTTGCATGCAGAAAAGTTAGAATGCCCTGTACACCTGAAGGAGACGAAAACGCACTCATTGATGCATTCATTGATAAAGAGACAGGCCTCAGCAAGTAAAACTTTTATTTATTTTGTATTTATTTTTTATTTATTTTATTTATTTTATTTATTTTATTTGTTTTATTTTGTTCTATTTTATTTTATTTTATTTTGCTTTATTTCGGTTTGTTTTGTTTTATTTATTTTGTTTTATTAGTCATCGATGCATTCATAGATAAAGAGACAGGCCTCAGCAAGTGAAAATTTTTTATTTATTTTATTTATTTTATTTTGTTTTTCTTTTTTATTTTTTTTTATTTTGTTTTCTTTTGTTTTGTTTTATTTTATTTTGTTTTATTTTGTTTTATTTGTTTTATTAATCATCGATGCATTCATTGATAAAGAGACAGGCCTCAGCAAGTAAAACCTTTATTTTTTATTTATTTTATTGTTTTTTTTTTTATTTTGTTTTATTTTATTATAAACATATATACATATATATATATATATAAACCCTAGTGTCCATTATATGCATTATAAACAATATGCTTTAACAATTTAGGGTTTAGGGTTTAGGGTTTAGGGTTTAGGGTTTGTGTGTATATGTATATAACCTCAGACGCCCTTTATCTTTACTTTCTCCATCACAACGTAGAATATTATATTTATTTTGTTTATTAAATAACCTGCATGCAAATATACAAATAAAAAAAATAACCGGAAAAGGCAGAGCTGTTCTTGCTGCTGATTTTATAAGAAAAGATGATTTCGTTATAGGTAAAGTTTTTTTTTTTTTTTTTTTTTTTTTTTTTTTTTTTTTTTTTTTTTTTTTTTTTTTTTTTTTT